TGTTCGAGTGTCCGTCCGTTCCTCCCTGCGCGCAACCGGCCGACCGGCCGACCGACCGGCCGTCCGTCGTCCTGAATGCTACGTGCACGCGAGAAGAAGGGGCCCTCTCGCGTCCAGGTGAGCGGCGGACAGGTAGGCGCATAGGTGTTACGGGACAACAGGTAGAACATTAGTCAAGTGCCTCGTTCCCGCTCGTCCGACCGGCCTTACACGTTACGCCGCGCTCACGACTCGGTTGGATCGCTTTGATGCACCCTTGGAGTTTATTGAAAAGTCCGTTGTTGCTTTGAGATCTTCTGAGTAGAACTTCGGTGGAAATTGGTTGTTGATTTTCTAATTAGAAGATCTTCTAATTAGAACTTTTTTAAGATTGGTCGGTGATCTGAGATCTCCTAACCAGAGTTTTGTTAATAATTGATTGATCATTTGGAGTTTATTGAGAAGTTGGTCGTAGATTTGAGATCTTCTGAGTAGAACTTTAGTGGAAATTGATTGTTGATTTGAGATCTTCTAAGTAGAACTTTGTTAAGGTTGGTCGTTGGTCTGAGATCTCCTAACTTTAGAATTTTGTTAAAAATTGATCGTTCATTTGGGAACTTCTACGTAGGATTTTGATAAACACTGATCGTTGGTCTGCGATCTCCTAACTGGAAGTTTGTTAATAATTGATTGATCATTTGGAGTTTATTGAAAAGTCGATCGTTGATTTGAAATCTTCTAAGCAGAACTTTGGTGGAAATTGATTGTTGATTTGAGATTTCGGACCAGAACTTCGGTAAAAATTGATCGATCGTTTGAGAACTAACTAGAATTCTGATAAAAACTGGTCGTTGATCTGAGATCTCCTAACTAGAACTTTGTCACGAATTGATTGTTGATCTAGGAACTCTTAATTACAATTTTGATAAAACCTGATCGTTGATCTAAGATTCCCTAACCAGAACTTCATTAAAACTTGATCGTTAATTTAAGAGCTCCTAACTAGAATTTTGATAAAAACTAATCGTTAATCAAAGATCTCTTAGACTAGAACCACAGCTAGACTAGAACTTTCATAAAAATTGATTGTTCATCTCAGAATTCCTAATTAGAACTTCGCTAAGAATTCATCCAGATCCATAGAATACTTTCGTAACAGTTGATAAAGAGTTTGCTACTGACCGCCTATCGTTCGCGTGACTCTCTAAATGAATTCTTTCAATGAAACAGGATTATTAGGACAGATTTCATTAGATGATAATCAGTACTAGCTTCTTCCGACTCGTAAGATAATCTTCTTCAAAGACATGCTTCCACAATTACTGAAAGTATATTAAAATTGAATGTTATACGTGTCATCGCGTTGCTGTAAGTAATCTTAGTAACAGCTTTGTCTCGGTATTTTACTCCTGTTAAGCGATCGGAAGCAAAGTTTAATATGTCGCGAGTATATGGGACGCGGGGATCGTTCAGTTAATGGAACACGGGGTTCATCTGGGAATTTCTTGTTATTCGACTCGCGGGGTCCTAACAGAGACCTTCGCCTGTCAGCCATTATTACAATCGCATTGCCTGATCTTTACGCCACATCTCTATTCGTTCTCCGTGCTTGACGGTCGGCTTGGGTGACCCAACAAAAGGGTGAAAACCCCCGTGGTTCTCACATAGATCCCGCAGAGCCACGGGGGATCTCGGTGCGCGACGGAGATCGTCCACGATCGATCCGACTCGTATCATCCACCGCGAAGACGGAACGCAAAACTTCATCCTTGATTATCATGAACCGAGTACCTTTCCAGAAAACTAATAAAAACTTGCTTTTTATTCGATTTATTCAACACTAGAACCACCGAACGGTCAAACTGATTTTTTGAAATTTTTCCATAGAAACACCAACAGCGCTACTATTGAGATTTCTATTGATTTATAATTCTATAATTTATATCTATGATTATCTTAGTGTAGTAATTTCGAGTAATCTTAATGTAGTAATTTCGAGTAATAATTAATGTAGTAATTTCTCAGAGAATTATCTGTTTTCAATAACGATTAAAGACGCAATCAGGAATGGGTCATTTTCACTTCTCTGATAGTTCTAGTGTTAAAGTCAACGAGAAAATATCCTTCTTCTACGTAGTATAGAACAATATGTCGTGGTAACAGAAATTTTGAACTGCGATATAGAGAATACATTTACTAGATTTAATTTAGCATCATATACTAGATTTAATTTAGTATTATATACTAGATTATATCTGAAGGTAAGGTAACTCATAAAAACTTATCGAGTACGATGCTGTTTTATATTAATCCTTTGTACTTGAAAGATGACTCTGAGCCACCTGATTTGATATAGTAAAATTATAAGGTCATATATAATATTCAGCTTTGTATAATGCATCAATATGTGAAATATTGGAATAAAATAGTTTTATTTCTTGATTTATGTACTTTTTCTCATTGGTTGATTTCAAAGAAAGTCTATATCTTATCGGAAAACGTTGAATGTTTCTAGTGGAAAGTCTTCGAGTGCAAAGGGTTAACACTAGAACTCCAGGTGGCACAAAATGACAGATTTCTAATTTTCTCTTTCAGAATTGCTGTGAAGGTACAGATATTTTAAATTTAAATTTAGTGATACCTAAACTGAAATATAAACCAATTGAAATCTTAAGAAATTCACACTTATAGCTTTGATTAGGAAATTTTGAAAGAGTGCTCGGTAGTTCTAGTGTTAACCTTTTACACTCAGGAGGTGACTCTAAGTCACAACTTAATTTGAACGGTAAAATTATAAAATTATAAAGTTTGATGTTTAATATTGAACTTTTTATAATGCATCACTATGTGAAATATAGTAAAATATTTTCATTCCTTAATTTATCGACTGAATTACTTACATTAGTCGGAACAAACATCGTCTATATTTTATCAAAAAGTGTCGAATATTTCTAGCAAAAAGCTTTCGAATGCAAAAAGTTGACACTACTTACCAGAATCCAAATATCCAAGATTTCCAATGTGCGCTGGAATTCTTTTAAACCGGCGTTTATCGAATAAATTAACACGTTCGCGGACGTGAACATAGCATTCATCTTCATTACAATGCAAAATGACACGAATCCTACAGCATTGAAATTTATAAGCCACTTTAACCCTCGAAGTACGGCATTTGCATTTTTCCTATTTTTGCGGCACATTAAAATTTCTACTGTCCATCAACGTGCCAGCATTGTGTCAATTATATCGTTGTTCACATATTCATCGTATTATAAGCTGTTTGCATCAAATTTCTCGAGATTACTCCCTCCTGTAATGAATCGAAATAATACATGGAAACATTAGCGAATGTACCAAACCAAAGCCGGTAGGGAAAGTGTTGAAACGGCTTGTAAATCTTCCACAAGCTTACTTTCAAAATTATCCGTGAATGGTTTAACCTGTTAATTGTGGAATTTAATTTCGGAAATCTCCTATAATGCTCGCAATGAAATGAAATAATGAAGTGTATACTCGTCTAACACAGGTCAAATGCACGTATAATATATTCTAACGAAAAACTAAAGCAAAATGAAGAAGAATTACATGTTTATCTGAAGAAATAAATAGTTTATCGTTGAAAGAATTAGTATTATTTTGATTTTAAGATGACGCATGTACTCGTCGAACGCAGTCAACTGGTTAAATGTTCAGCTAGTTGCCATTAAACGAGATGATCCACGTGGACTGTTAAACGAGTACTATAATCCGTTAAAGGCCTGTTAAAAAGTCAACACGGCTGGGACGGCTATCCTCGCGAGGGCGGTCTAAACAATTTTATCCTTTCAAGCTTCTATTATTTTGTGCAAACGAGACGCGTAAATAAAATTCTTGCAGCAGGAGGATGCTCGGAAGCTGGCGGAATTGCGGGAGAATTCGTGAGAGAGATCCAAGGTGGCGGTTCGCTGGGTGGAGCTCTCTCTTCTGCTCCATTTATTTCTATTTCCTCTCTTCCTGGCCCCTAACAGCGCGCTCCACCCCTGCGGGGATAATGACTGGCCATTTTTTTCATTTACAAAACACTCCGCCGTGATCACCGTGACCAGTCGTTGATGGATTTAGCGCGAAATCATCTCCCTTAACGTTTCCTGTTTCTGGGAGTCGAACAGGCTGGGACACTTCTGATAGATTTAATGGGAGTACCAAACATTAAATGCAACGTTAATCCCTCGTTCATGATTCCCATTGTTTTATATACTAATTTGCAGGTTTAAGTAATGTCTTCGTTTAACCTTCAATCCTTTGCACTCGAAAGTCTGTATTAGGAATATTCAACATTCCCGTAGATTTAACGAGAGTATGAAACATTAAATGCAACGTGAATCCCTCGTTCATAATTCCTATTCTCTTATATGCTAATTTACAGGTTTAAGTGATGTCTTCATTTAACCTTCAATCGTTAGCACTCTAAGGTCTTTATTAGAAATACTCAACATTTCCCGATACAGAATATTGAAACCAATCAGATAATATATATAAATTAAGAAACGAAGCGCACCGAGAGAGCTTCCGAGTGCGAAGGGTTAACTCCTTCACTAATAGACTTACGGGACCCATTAACTTCAGGGACACTGAATTTTTTAAACACTACTTAGTAGCAGTTTAAGTCTATTTTCATTCGTGCAATTATACGAATGCACATAGTAATACTTTAATTTTCAAGCTACAATATATAAACGAACACGTAGTTGTCTAAAACCATAGCATAAAGTGTAGAATAAACGTTCATAAATCTAGCCTCCTTAACCCTCCCTTAGTCCACTCACTTGGAATATTGTTCAACAGATAAGAACAATCGCAGAAGTTTCATTATGGCCTGTAGAAATTCAAAGAAAAATGCTAATGAATCAAGAAACACTGAACAAACGTTAGGAACTCGCCAGAACTTGTCGAATTACTGAAAAGCCCGGCGGTCGCCGGCCAAGGTCCAGCATCCCCTTTTCCTCACCTGGGTAGACGACACACGGAAAGCGATACACGCGATAATAGGACGTGGCCAGGCTGGCCGGCCGATAATCCTGGCTTATGAATTATTCAAGCGTAAAGTGCAAGAGCAAATTTGCCGTCTGTCTTCGTTTCTGGAAATCGAGACACTGACCGGTCTACGAGCGCGCGCGATTCGCGTATACGTGTGACCTCGCCTTATAACGGATTTAGTTTTCCGCGAAGGGGATGAATTATTCATCCGTCCGTGGGTCCGACCGCGTGAAAATTGTTGACCTATCGAGTCCGTATCGCCTCGCCTCGACTCGACTCGACTCGACTTGCCCCGACATCCTTTATTTTTGGCCCGGCTCGAGACCTCTGACAGATTTCCGAAATTTCAATGTCCGTTTTCGTCGCATCGTCTGCCGTCTCGTTAGGGGGATAGGAGGGTTTGCGGGAAGACTCGGCGATTAGGCAAATGGTTGATCGAGTTTTGGAATATTGAATTGTTGCATGAGAAAGATTGAATTCCTGTTTGAGACGTATTGAGATCTCGTTTGATAAATATTGAGGTTATATTTGGGACATATTGTGTTTCCAGTTGATAAATATTGAGTTTATGTGTGAGACATATTGAGATTTCATTTGATGAATATTGAGTTCCTATTTGAGACATATTGAACTCTCCTTTGATAAATATCGAGTTCATGTTTGAGGGACATTGAGTTTCCATTTGATAAATATTGAGTTTATATTCGAGGCATGTTGAATTTCCATTTGATAAATAGTGAGTTCCTATTTGAAGTATATTCAGCTCCTGTCTGATAAATATTGAATTTCTATTTGAAACATATTGAGCTCTCGTTTGATAAATATTGAGTTTCTATTTAACACATATTATGGTCCCATTTAATAAATATTGAGTTCCTATTGTAGACACATTGAGCTCTCGTTCGAAAAATATTGAGTTCCTATTCGAGGCACATTGAGATCTCGATTGATAAATATTGACTTTATATTTGAGACATATTGACTTCCCTTTTGATAAATATTGAGTTCCTATTTGAAACATACTGTACTTCCATTTAATAAATATTCAGTTTCTATTTGAGACACATTGTGCTCCCATTTAATAAATATTCAGTTTCTATTTGCGATACATTGTGCTCCCATTTAATGAACATCCATCATATACTGACAAATACTCCGAGATCCATCTAGATCCTCAATACCCTATCCATCAGAAACTCAACAATCGAACCAACACCGAAAACTTGTCTAATCTCAAGCTCACAAGTTCCACTCTCCCCAGCATCCTACAACATCGACTCAACCAATCCCCAATCTCTGATTCCAGCGATCACCTAAAGATCCACATGAAGACCCATGACACCCAGAAGCCATACCAATGCACGGCATGTTCCCGCGGCTACAACACCGCGGCCGCATTGACATCGCACATGCAGTCGCACAAGAAGCACCACCACCAGTCCCAGGGAGCTACGAAACTGCAGGACGTGGAGTACGGTCGACGAAGCGTGTCCTCGCACAGCACGTCTTCGCCGCCGGTGCCAAGTTCTCCATCGCCATCTCTGAATCTAACGCTGAATCCGAAGACTGGTTTGAAGAGTTCTCACGGCAGCGCGTCCACAACGCCGATCCTGAGTTCACCGTTGAAGCTGGCGTGCATGTACTGCACCAGGGACTCGTTCAGTTGCATGCAACAGCTGCAGATGCACGTGCACACGATGCACCAGGCGATCTTGAGCGGCGAGGCCGTGGCAGTGCCACCGTCGCCCAGCAGGAGCACCGATCAGGCGAACTACCAGCGGGAGAAAGGATCGCTGGCTCGATCGGAAGGCTCTTCGAAAGACCACGAGAGGAAGTATCAAGAAGATACCGAGAGATCCGTCGAGAAGGATCAGTACGAGAACGCGTTCACTTGCAACCAATGCACCATGAAGTTCTCCACGTTGGCGACACTTAGAGACCACCTGGTCTCGATCCACAGGACGGACGGTTTCGGGTCAGCGCTGATGATGTGTCCTCTCTGCGGGATCCCTTGCGCCTCCGCCGCGGCTTACGCGGAGCACTACGTCTTGCAGCACTGCGAGAACCGCAGAATAGGTCCTTTAGAAGGCGCGGAGTACGCGGACGCAAAGATGAATGGGAGTTACGGCGACTCGAAGAGTTCTAGAAGCCAGAAGCCTAGGGAATCGGTCTCCGAGCCGGCTGATCTGACCAGCAAACATTCCAGACCGACTGAGAACAGTTACACTGCAGGAACGTTGCTCTGCGGACAATGCGGAGCAGCGTTGAAGGACTTCGAATCGTTCAGGGAGCATCTAGCTAGGCATCTGCAAGCTGATCATAGGAATGACGCCATGAGACATCCGTGTCCTAAGTGCGAAGCGAGCTTCCAGGACAGAGAGGACATGCTGGCGCATCTGACGAAGCATTATCTGGGCCAGATCAGCAAGGAGTACGCTTGTGGAGCCTGCAAGAAGCTGTACCCTCATCCAGACCTTTTGCAGAGGCACCTGCTCGACAGCCATGCGCACCATTTGTACAGATGCGCCTTATGCAGGGACACTTTCGACTCCAGAGTAGCGATACAGGTCCACTTCGCGGTGAAGCATAGTCAGGAGTGCAGGATCTATCGGTGCAACGCCTGCACAGTGCCCAATAATGAAAACTCGCCGGGAAACACGCCGGGGGAGGGTAGAAGCTTCTTCAGGAGCGAATCGGAGATGGCGAATCATGTCAGGAACGTCCACGCGCCTTCCACGGTTTCTAACAGCAGTCCCGTGGCTAGGAGTCCAGCATCAACACCCGGAATCACTGGGAACGCTGTGCCGAGATGCGTTTTCTGTGGGATCTGCTGCAACTCTGAGTTGGAGCTGCAACTTCACTTGGCCAGCCACTCGACTAGCTTGTACAGATGTCCTATCTGCAGGGAGGGCTTCGCCGTGGAATTCTTGCTCGACAGACACATGGCCCAAGCTCATCATTCGAGCGATCATCAGGCTGTGAGGAGCAGCTCCAGGGAAAATGGACGGATAGGGAGACCAGCCAGGACGCAGGAAGAGGTAAGTGTTATTGCGTTGTTGTCGCCTCTGAAATATCATTGAATCCTTACGCGTTGTTTCTTTTTACAGCCTAAGTCCCAGAAAAGAGGTCGTTCTCCAGCGTCCAGCAACAACAATTCCCTGAACCAACGGGACAACAACAACAAACGGCCGAACTACACCAACACAGGGGGGCAGCAGTGCGAGCTCTGCGAGAGAGGAGAGTTCGCGAATGAGGCAGAGCTGCAGGCTCACAAGAAACTGGCTCACACCCCGGCAAAGCTGCAGAACAAGTCCGTGTCCAACCTCAGCATGACCTGTGCGTACTGTGGTGAAGTGTGTCGCTCTAGGACTGAACTGGAATCCCATACTAGGATCCAGCACGCCTCCAATGAACCTGGAGGTCGTCACAAGTGCAACATCTGCGACGAGGTGTGTCCTTCCGGAGCAACATTAGCTGAGCACAAACTGCAGAAGCATTGCAAGATTCAGCTAAGCGACACCTGCGTCGTTTGCCGAGGAAACTTAACGTCGGAAGCCCAGTTCCTCGAGCACGTGCAGAGACACAGCCTGGAGAATGTTGATCCTCAACAGAGACTGGACGGCTCTCTCCCTCATCTGCCTGCGGCCTGTGTCGTCTGCAGGCAGACGTTGATCAGTGACTTAGAGTGTCGTCTGCATGCCAGGCATCACCTCAGGTCTCCCACTGGCCCCCAGAGTGCAACGTCCAGCCCCAGTCCCAATCAAAAGAGTCAGAGTCCTGGTTGCTGCCTCTGCTTAAGAGACTATTCCGCGGATGACTTCGTCAGTTTGCCACCGAGCCATATCAGCGGCGGTGGACAGTCCCTGAGGGTTTGCAAGTCCTGTTACATTCGCCACTCTCAGGGTCTACCCATCTTGAATTCGCCGTATGAGCACGCTAGGGGGAAGAGCGATAGAGGATGGACTTCGAGTGGTAAAGAGTCTCAATGGGATGGGTCTAGGGATAGATGGGAGCCTGATAGAGTCTTCAAAGCTGAAGACAGGACGGACGAGACTAGTGATAATAAAAGATGTCAGGATTGTGGGGTGAAGTTTGAGGACCCTGAAGAGGTTGAGAAACACAGACTTACGGAACACGAGAAGGTTGGATCTGGATCGAACACTTACACTTGCATACAGTGTCAGGTAATGGAAATATTTGCAAGATAACGTGGATCACTTGTCTAATACTCTGTTAATTTTTTTATTAATGTACTATCTTCAGATGTCGTTTCCATCTGAAGCAAAGATACAGCAGCATGTAAGAAAGGAGCATTTAGAAGCCACTGGGAAATCTATTGATGCACTGCGGTGTCACCTGTGTCTCTACGAAGCTAGCAGTCCCCTGCAGTTGCAGAGCCATTTGATAGAGCACACTTTCGCCGGGTGCGCTGCTCTTAGTTGTTACATTTGTCAGTCTCTTTTCACCGCTCCTATTGGTCTTCAGGTACTTGGCATTCACGGCTAATCTCGTTATCCTATAAACATCTTAGATGATCTTAGGTAGCTAACTTAAAACTTTTTCTAGAATCACATGCTACAAGAACATGGTCTGGGTGCCCGTCCGTACGACTGCTCAAAGTGCACTCTGAAGTTCTTCTTCAGGGCAGAACTGGATCATCATGTGTTAACGTTCCATCGACCTGGAGAGGTATCTCCGCCTCATGAAGCTGTTCAGAACGTCGTAGAAATGAAAGCTACAGATCCTGAAGAGCAGATCTGTGATGATGGGATCACGGTGAAAGAGGAACTGTTACCAGATGCTGCAGAAGAAGAGGAAGAGATCAATGTCGACGGGCAAATGGAACATGAGGAGGAAGGCAAACAGGATGCAAATCAGAAACTCAAAACCGAAATTGACACGGAACCTGCTGTTCCGGAGAAAACTGAATCGTGACTCCATTGAACGGAGTATTTCAAATGATATAAGGAAGATTGATTGAACGGTGATTGAGCTTTTAAGTGCGAGAGTTGCGTTCGTTGTTAAATCGATTATTATTATAATCGTATTGTAATAGAAGAGAGTGGAAGCTGTTACGCTTTTGAAATCATTGAGCAAGCTTCTTCAAATAACGAACAGACTCGTCGATAGATACAAATGTAAAACAAAGCTCGTTTTTACAATTAGATTTTTTAAGATGTCCTTAATGAAATCTATGTGATGAAATGTTTCTGAATGTTGAGAGTTGTACGAAGAGTAACAAGGTAAATTCATTTTTTCAATGAGCTTGGAAACGGTTCGTTCCAACATTGATTGTTTTTTACTGAATGAAATGTAAAGTTCTATGGAATTAACGTTTCCATTGACTACTCGTTATTGTTCTCACGAAAATTCCTTTATGCACAGAGTTATTGCGATAGAATAAGTTCAAATCGGAAGATCGTAGACGAATAACAATGATTTTCACATGAATAATATGAGATTGATTCGTCGAGGTCTACATATTCTGTTAAGATACGGTTATATTGTGTTTCAAATTTTTAATATAAATTGCAGCGTTGAGTTTTGTTAATTCGTGGAGTATTGGTTGCATGTAACTTTAATACACACTCTTCTGTTCTATGTTAGGTGGTATTCTGTTATTTCAATTTATGTTTCCAATACGAAAGCATGTTTCATTCATTTCTTACATTAATTGTTAACTCTATTGTATCGTCTATAATTACAATCGATTTGTTTAAAATGAAAAAGAAGGATCTACTCGAACGAATTTGTACTATAAGAAGTGTCGTTATTTCTTATGAATATGAAGGGTTTGTAGATTTCCCATGGCTGCGATTCTGTAAATACGTTGAATAGTACTAGAAACTATTACTCATTGTTTGATCGATTCGTCAGTACCATAAACGGTAATTATTTAAAGGAAGCAGATGCAATAACCTGTCCACTAGGCTTAGCGATATTATAGGATAGTTCTTTATGAAATAAATTATTGTTTTAAATCGCCAATCCTTGTTATAAAAACATTTCCCTTCCACTGCATGCACAAAATAGTCTAGCATAAAATATTCTCCCTTAAGAATTAAATACATTGATATTAAAAAAAATTGATTATGAAGAAACAGAAGTAATATAAGAAACTGAAAGAAACTTTTATTTTAATTTTCTGTTAATATTGGGTCAAGTTTTATGTCAATTCCATTAATTTATTGTTAAAAGACAATAATATTACGTATTTGAAAGAGTAAAACTATTAACCCTTTGCACTCGACAGGTGACTCTCACTCACCATTCAATTTAATATACCAAAATTATAAACTATTACACACAACATTAAATTCCATATAATCCATAAATGTGTGAAATATAGAAACAATAATTCTGTTTCTTAATTTACATATATTCTATCATTTAGTTCGTCTCAAAGAATGTTGCCTACAACTCATTGGAAAATGTTCAATATTTCTAGTCAAAAATTTCCGAGTGCATAGGGTTAATACAGCATTAATTTTCATTATAATAACGTGTCCCTATTTTTCAATGAGTAAGACAAGGATAGAGAATTTCGGTTGAGGCGATAACATCGCCATCTAGCGGTTGGGCATCTTCAGAGTTTTTCCCTATACCCTTAATGCGTAAGACAAGGACAGAGATAGTGTGCGACAAGGACAGAGATAGCAATCCCTGTGCCACCTACTTCGAAAAAGCATCTCATCAGTCCCTGGTACCTACGCGTGAAGCATGACGACTAAGGAGGTATCCAACAATGGTATATATACAATTTGGCGGGAAAGAGACAAGGACGCATAATGGCCGCCGAGAAGATTCGCGTGATCGATGCGAAATTCATTAATAACTTGACTCCCACGTATGACTCATTAACATTTGCAATCGGAGATTGTAAAATAAACCTTCCCCTACTTTCCCCTACCACTGTTGATAGGATTTTCTTTCTCGTTAATTATTTATTAATTATTTTCTAGAGCATCGTAAGAAACTGATATCGAATTTTTTAACAGGTCTCCGGTATATCATTGCTTTTCTTACTTTTTAGAAACAATTGGTGAGCTTTTGCTTTTGAGGAAATTAGAGTGGACCCGTAGAAATTTTCCTGGGGTAATGTTAATTATAGTTGAAGTCAAATTAACGAGTCATTAGCGATTATTCGATGGGCTAAATGCGTTTTGTATGTTTGTAATGTGTGAGACAAGGAAAGCATTAGTGTGCGACAAGGACGGATATAGTGAATGGTGCCATCTTTCGTGAGATGTACCAAACTAGTAGTCAATTAGTGTCTATGGCAATCGAAATATGGCGCCGCCAATATCTTCGTTGTGACGCGCTAGTGATGATAAGGAATAACCCTTTCTAACACTCTGCTTTGAAGGATCTTCTATTACCGATGTTTTCATGTAGTACATATGATAATTTTATAAATTGAATGTTCGTAGCTAACAACAGTTATTCACTTTATTGAAATATCTCAAAGAGAACAGACGGATTAATCAGTTTGTTGTAAAATAGTTAAGAAATGTTATAATATGTAGCGTATAAAAAAACACAACAAAAATACCGACTGTCGCATACTAGAGTTAAGCCAGTGGTACGAACAGTTTAGTTTATTCAACACTAGATGGTACAGTCATTCAGATTGCTACATGAAGTTTAATATTTTATTAAATAATTATTTATTGCGTATGTACTTATGTACTTGTAGGTGGGGTTTTCCGCTGTATATGAATTATTCAGATCTCTGTTATCAATTCAACTTCCGTTCAATGATTTTTCGACGTCTAATTAATGAGGCATAATGTTTACTGTAGATATGAATCCAGTTTGTCTGGAGTCTGATGCTAAATGTATTTATATTAATTTTCTGTAACTGTTAAAATAACTTGAAATTGGAAAATTAAGAATAAGAAATCTATGAAGTAAATGTTCTGATGAGAATGGTAGGAGAAATTTAGATATATTTGTTCGGTTCATTGAGTTCCATGTTGTATAATTGAAACATTCATTTATTTCCTGTAAATATAATTAATCTGTACTTTTATTTTTTTCACTTTCGATTACATACATTTGTAAATTTAAACAATCAGTTTTGACAGTTTTCAGTGGTAATAAATTTGTATCAGGTATTTCAGGCAATTCTTCGTTAATGATCCATGGGAAATCCTCACAACAAGGATTTTCACTTAGACCGACATGGGCAGCCTCATATGTTTGAATTTCAATAGAGAAGGTTGAATCTTGTGGCAATGGCTTCAAATATGCTTCACACATAGATAATTTTAAACAAATTGTTCTAAGAGCTTCTTCTGTTTTTAAATAGTATGGATCTTTCCTGCAATAATTACAAGAATGTTTAGTAAGTCACATCTGTTAATTATAAGTCATTAATAATAGTACATACTCTGCACTATTAGGTTGAATCTTAACAAGATCAAAAATAAATTTTTCAATTGGTTGCTTGTTCTTGTTATAGATAACAAGACTCACTGCTTTTATAGAGCTCTCATCTTCCTTAATAAGTTCTTTAATTGCATTAAGAACATTCTTCAAATATTCATTAAGCTCTGGATGTTCGGAAACGTATACTGTTGTACTATATATCTTCTTTTTTATGAAAATTTCATTGGGATATAGGTTTCTAAAGTATAATATGTGATTGAATGCTACTTCTAGAAACTCTAATAAAATATCAATACCAACTGTAAGTATTTTCAATTAGTATTTGTACTTATTATCAATTTGATAATTTCACTTCTTTAAACATTAGTTACCTATTTTATCTTGAGACATTCCAAACTTTAAATTTAAATTTATAATTTAATAATTTAAAATTTTAATTGATATGAAGTAATTCATATAAGCTGAAAAGGAAAACAAATTTATTTCCTATACTAAGGGTTCTTTTAGATTCATCTTAAAAAATATGTATGGTTCCCATTTATTTCCATGTCTATTATTTGAGCAATCTTTTACTTTTTGTAAAATTCATTTATATAATGTAAAATACTTTCATTTTATAATCTATGTTTGTAGATATGTAGTAAAAATAATAAGTAATTAAAAAAAAACAATCCTCTTATAACGATTATAGATATAAGGATTGAGAGAAACAAATAATAAAAATAAAAGTATTATCAAAATAGGAAACTAGACGGTAGTCTGTAAAAATGTTTTCTACATTAATTTGCATACATTCTATTATTTAGAGATTAATTTGACGCGCGCCTGGAGAGAAACCAATTGCATATGGCGGTCAGTGTACATCGGACGGTTAGTGTTTTCATGTGACTTTTTTTATCAATTAACGAAAAGTATTGTGTAACTAGTGTTAAATGCATTAATGCACGCAACAAATGTTCTCTTACAATCGGATAATGTTGTAAGAGAAGAGTAGAATGATATAAAGATTATAGCGGCGTTTCTCATAACCTCGAACATCAGCAACAAATTAACTTTCGTGCAGGTATATGGCTTACAATTTTAAGCGTATAAGATCGTTCAAATGTTTTGTGTTTGTTATAGTTTTAATACGTCGCCCGCCTTCAATTTTTTATTGTTGTTTTTGATCACAGAAATCCAGTGAAATCGATTGTATCAAGTGCCACTTTCGTTACGTTTTTATTTTACTAGTGAGTCGTGATTTTCTCATGGCGCGAAACGAAACGTGTGCGTTATCTGGTTGTACAATTACTAGACTGTGGGTATTTAATCAAATTCACGTTTCAGTAAATTAATTTATTAAAAGTGGGACGAGATAGAAAACTGTATTATTTATTTTATATATCGGGATTTTATTGAATTGATACTAAATTAGAATATTATTAAACTCAAAACATTTTTCTTACTTCACCATATACTGTACCTTGTATACTTTATCATTCATAAAATTCGTAGTTTAATAATTATTGTGATTTTTGTAGTATTTTAAAATTAACTTCATGATTATTAATATAAATAATAATAATCATAATCAATAATATAAATAATATTTAGCATTTTCTTCCATTTTATAATTTGAAGAGCTGTAGTATTCGGTGAAGTATTTGAATTTATTTTATTAAAAATTTTTGATTTCATAAAATTCTATGCTTATTATAAATTGAGAATATTAATTATTACAGTTAATATGTTTCAGAACATGCCGCCAAATAAGAAGACTGATTTAGATAAGCTAGCGTGGGCCTGGGTGGAAGGTGTTTTACCTGAAGAAATAGAAAAAATACATTTGGAGACTGCCTACAGGATAGGTTTAAAAGCTTGTAAAAATTGCAAGTGAGTCACATAAATGTTCTTTAATATTTCTTTTATATACTTCTTTTAACATTTGATGTAATTGTATATATCTTTTTTCAGACGTAATTGCACAAATAATCCACAATGCCTTACAGGCTTGGGCGAAGAAAAATATATGAAGTCACAACTAGTGGAAGTAGCATCTTTAGAAAGTTCTTTATCCGAATTACGTGACCCTACAGAATATGTTGGCTTAAAGAATTTAGGTGCTACTTGCTATGTTAACAGTTTGATTCAAATGTGGTTTCACAATGAAGATATGAGGTATGCATTTTCAATAACCTGACAGCAATTTACAACTTATATGAATGTTTAATGAAAAATAAAACTGTATGCTTTCAGGAGGATAATATACAAATGGGACATCACAGAGGATCCAGAAGAAAAGGAAGCAGTATGTCAATCTAAGAAGGCAGGCGTACCATTTCATCCAGTGACAGCAGTTGGCCAGTTGCAATACATATTTGCAATGATGCAATTTGGAAACCGACGTCTCCTTGATCCAATGAATCTTGCTATCGCGTTGTCTCTGGATACTAGAACCCAGCAGGATGCGCAGGAATTCTCCAAGCTACTTCTGTGCCATATCGAAGGGAAGATGCAGCAAAACTCAGACCTGAAGCAGATGCTGCAGACGCTGACTCAAGGGAAATACAGCTATATCAATTGGTGGGTTTTCTGAAGTGGAAAACAAATGAGAATTGTCCTAAGCGATGATGATGCTGATGATCTTGACGATGAGAACATGGTAGGACACGTTGCTCGCTGCGGTGACTGGTGCGATCAACTGATCTGACCGATAGGAAAGCTAATACCTCCTAAATAACCGAGACTTTATGTGTGATGCAGTTGCTCGAGATGCGGTACTGAGTATCCGACTTCAACTACATTCTACGAGTTGGACCTGCAACTTGCGTCCACCCTCAAGGAGGCGATAGAGAAATACTTGTCTGTGGAACACCTGACGGGAGCAAATCAATATCATTGCGTTACCTGCAATGACAAAAAGGATGCACGACGATTTATACGCTTGGAATCACTCCCTGAAACGTTGAACATACAATTAATGCGTTTCGTGTTCCACAGGTAGTTATCTCTGTTTTAATATTTATCTTGAAGTTTGCTTATCCTTTATGTGAGTCCTATTTATTACTCTGTCTGATAGGGATTCTGGTCAAAAAAGAAAGCTGAACTCTTTTATACAGTTCCCGGAAGATCTTGACATGTCTGAATATGTAAGGTGTCCTCCTCAAACTCACGTGTACAGTCTTGTTGCGGTACTAAGTCATAAAGGGCCATCTGCACATTCAGGTCATTACATTGCCAATATATGTAATTCTAACGGAGAGTGGTATCAGTTTAGCGACGATAAAGTGGAGAAAATGCAAAATAAACGTATTGAAGATAGTGTTAACGGTAAGATTAAACTGTTCAACAAGATATTGGTCCCTTTATAAAATTATGAGATAGAATCAGGTATTACTTACTGATTTTAGAAAATTCAAAAGTTATTAAACGTGGGCGTGTACCAAAGGGTTTTCTTTCGTCTAATACGGCATACATGTTAGTTTACAAAAAAGTGACTTCCGACGGGCGAATAAACAATGGAAAGAAGAATAAGTCGAAAAAACCAGAAGCAGAAACTAATAGTCATAGTGTGGAGACTCATAGCGATATGGATAAACCGGACTCATCGGATGAAGGAAAACGCAAGAATGGACCAACTTCTACTGTTTCTAATTCGACGTCTCCCGGGAAAATATTGAAATTGGACACAGAAAATAAAATGGACATAGTGTGTGCAGTGTCATCTTCTCAAGATACAGATCCCACATCCAGTGAACGAAATGGGAAGCATTATGAGTCTGATAACAAGGAAAATCATTACGATGCTCAACCTAAGGGTGCAAAAATAGATTATAAAAGGCTAAACGGAGCGGCCCATAGAGCGATGAGCTGCGGAGAAAGAGATTTTTATGAAGAGGTAAAAAGTGTCACTTCAATAGTAGATCTTCCTAAATATTATATGATTAATATTTTACAGATGGAATTCGAATGTTGGGAAGTTAGCCTTACGTTACGAGAGTTGGTAAGGCAGGAAAATGTGAAACATGAGTTAAGTTTGTTGGCTATCCAGCAAGAAAAAGTATGTACCAGTATTTACTTGTATGAAGAACAGACAACAAAGTGATTATTTATGTAACTTACTTTCTATTTAGCAAAAGGAAATCGAAGATCAAAACTTGAAGAGACAGCTCGTGATAGATATTTACAATATCATATCTAGTACATTATCGTGGGAGACATATCAATGGATTCCTAGTGACTGGTTGTCGAAATGGTTAAATGGACACGCATTTACCGAAGGAGTGCCTCCAATCGACAATTCAACTTTAATGTGTTCGCATTTTCGACTCGACCCACTGAAAGTGAATCGTGCAAAGTGTTTGCCTCTGCCAGCTGCGGAATTAATTTATCACAAATATCGCGGAGGCCCAAGATTAGACGAGAACTCTCTCTGTGAAGTTTGCGTGAGGCGACGATACAAGTTGCTTCGGTTCAAAATGTCTCTTGAGCGCGATCACAAGGAGGTTAGCGATCTTATCCGCAACTTCAAAGAACCGTAAGTTGTCTATACTTATTGTCATCTTATTAACTACAATAATTCGTTTAGCAATAACTGTTCTATTCTCCACAGGAGCGAGACAAGCTACATCGTGGGTGCTGATTCGCTGCGATCGTGGCGGAGGTTAGCAATGGAAAAATTCACCGACGACATGGAACGAGAAGTCGAAGATGAGGATGGTCAAACAATGAACGGTCCTCCAGAGGATAGTAAGAGTATCAGCAAAGAAAACGAGGGACCGAAGGAAGTGGAGGAAAGCGAAGAAAATGAAGTAATACTTTACTTCAACGAGGATTTGCTTTGCGAGCACAGTTCCCTGAAGACACCCGATTCGACCAGGAAAGTAGTACCACGGGAAGCTTGGACCATCCTTCGAAAATATTTCCCAGAGTCGAAAGAATATCCAATCGCAACTCCATCCTGTTCTATCTGCGAAGTACTATAATTTTTCAAGTCATACCTAAAGAGAAACCTTCCGCTGTAATTGCGTGTAACACGTAGTCGTGTATTTGTTTCAGGAGAAAATGGAGAACGCGCAGAAGGCAAAGAAGGATGACAAGATAAAGGCGAAGCACCAGAAGGACGAGCTGAATGACTTGTATCACGCGCGAAACAGGAATGAGATACTGAAGTGCGAGGATCCGGAGAAGATGTTCTACATCGTGGAGAAGGGCTTCCTGGACAGTTGGCGTTCCTTCGTTCGGTGAGTCTGCACACATTTTTATCATCGAAGGGTGCTGCCGCCTATCGGCCATGGTGTCCCACTCATAACTCACTCTCAACGTTAGATGGCGCCAGGCTTATCTCAAGGATGTTCAATGATTTAGAAAAACCATGTCTTTGTTACATTCCTCTAAAGAATATTACAAATACTTGATCGAAACTATTCATTTTAACTTGTTATATTATTATTCAATACAATCCCCATAAAGTGACATTTATAATTCAACTCTACCCTCTTTATTTTACCATTACTACCAAACATTAGTAAAATTTACAAACAAACAGGAACAAAGTAACCCAAAATCTTCGTCTTAAAAAAGCTGCCTCTTCGAGACTGTCTACCAAGCTCGACTTCCTCCTTTGCTAGTCCTCCAGGGGAACGCGTTAACACACTCGCTACCAGCGTTTATTTCGGTGAAGACCTCAATCGTGATATTTTATTCAACCCAATAAATCTTCTAAACAGAATATCGAAGAAATAAAACTGGAACAAGTTATTGAGTTTCTAAATATAATGCCGTTTATAATTTCAAGTAACAATATCTACAAAATTAATTTCATTTGCTTTATGTAAAATATAATATCGCGCTTGTCACGAATACGTGACGCAGCTAGCGAACGTGTTAAGGCAACGAAAGACTACAGGCGGTAACCCCGAGAAATTTCATTGCAGCCCTTTTTCCGAGCGCTTAAACAACCGCGACGAAAGACAACGCGTGAAACGAGCCAGAAACTGCGATAAATCATTCCATCCGGTTGGGAAACGTCCTCGATCTTCGTTCGAGCGCGCAATTAAGCGACGAAAGACGCGGGTCCGCGCCACGGGGGGAGAACGGTTCCGGGGACCGGTGCGGGAAATCGGCCCGCGGAGAGGGTGGAAACGGGGCGAAATTGTGGCCGCGACGAGCCCCGAATAAGGCGGAACGGTATTAAGACGGCGGCGGTCGGTGTTCCTCGAGGCTGATGTATCATTTGCCGGCGGGTCGTTAGGCGGTTTCAATTAGTTTTCCGTGCTGCTCCTGGCCCGGCATCCACACGAGGACTGGGAAGCCCACCGCAGCCCTTAATCGCGCGGTCCAGTTTTTTCTCATAATTAGGAAAAGCTCGTTAATGCGCCCCTGCTGTCCCTGTACCCCTCTTCTCCGTTGCCCTAGCTACATGCTAGGCTACGGAGGTCGACCGTGACGACTATTTTGATTTTACTGATTCAGTCGGGTCGTTGGTCTTGCGTTGATTAGCGTAGGATCCTTTACTTGGCCTTAATGGTCATCGTAGTTCCTATGGAGACATTTTTTATGTTAGTACTAGCTGATTATTACGGTGTTTCGGTGGAGTATCGTGAGTTGGGTTCATATTTTATGAGAACTCGTCTTCCGCGTACTTCGATGAGTATGGTTCCTGGTTCGAGTTAACCCGTTACTCGAAAGTTTTTTAATAGAAATATTCAACGTTTTACGATGAGATATGGACGACATTGTTTGAAACTAGTTTAACGATAATTCATAGATAGATTAAGCAATAATTTTATTTCAATATTTCACATAGCAATGTAAAGTTCAATTTAAAATACTAAATATTCAACTTCATAATTTTGCTGTATCAAATCAAGTGGTGACTGAGTCACCTCTCGAGTGCAAAGGGTTAAGTTCTTGCGCTGGTAACGAATTCAGAGATTTCGCGAAGTCTTGTGCGAAGAATTTCGTTTTTACCTATTTTGGTAAAAACGCGGATGTGTACATTAATTCTGTTTGTTAATTATTTTGTATAAAGTGATACGTTGCAAAACAGTCTAGTGTGTGTAATTCAACGAGACTATCGATATGTATAAGACGTGATCGGGAATTTCAGAACAGAAGCATCTCGAAGTGCGTGCCGCGTCTTTCCAGCGCAAGAGGTTAAAAGGCTATAAATTCCAACGAACGAAATCCCTACCGGAACCCGATAATTACCGACGTAGAAAAGGGTGTCCGAAAAATTAATCACCGAGAGACACGAGCGAAGACAATGGCATTGGCCTCGAAAAATATTCTCCGCCTTTTGAAACCGTTTATCCTCGCGAATGCCGCCGGGTTCGGGGGTGGGATTCGCGGACGTTCTTCGCATTCTTCTAGATTTTTTTGTCGAGGAATCCTCGGGGTGAGAGAAGAATCCTAGACAATCCCCTATTTCTATCTTCTCAATCCTTTGCGAATCATCATCCCTAAGAATCTACATTTTTTAAATTCTACAACCCTCTTAACGCGTTGAGCGCCACGAAAATCTTAAACATTTAATCGTAGGGTTCTTCTTTTGGAGGAAACAAGAGCAGGAACAATTATTAATTATTTAGTGTTACAATGTTTGCATTACACTATTATCAACTTAGCTACGTTATTAACTTTATCACTTCACATCGGTTATCTTTTATGTTACGATTGTTTTCCAGTCGTTCAGAAGCGTCAGTCACCAGTGACTGACATGGCACTTAACGTGTTAACCAGTTAACTGCGTTTGAGTACACATGCCATCTTAAAATCAAAATGATACTAATTATTTTAACGATCAATTATCTATTTCTCCAGAGAAACATGTAATTCTTCTTCGTTTCCCTTCAAATTTTCGTTAGAATACATTATAAGCGCATTTGGTCTGCGTTAGACGAGTGTACACTTCATTATTTCATTTCATTACGAGCATTATCAGAGATTTCTGAACTTCAATTCCACAGTTAACAGGGTTAACCCCTTATCCTACGATTTCTTTCTCCACTGAGACCGATCTGACTACTTTGTTATGAATAATTTCTCGAAAATAAGAGAAAATTCCAGTTTTATTCCACGTCAACGTGTGCTTGAAGGTGTAATAATCGCTAATAAGAGAATAATATGTAATTTGCACTCAAACGAATTAATAATATTTATATTTTTAAAATTCTATTTGAAATCTTCGCCACGAGTCTGACACGATATTGTAGGGGTTAACCTGTCTTCATTGCGACTTCTCGCGTAGGCATGTCTAGATACACTTAATAACGATCGTCTTCTCGCGATGCACGTCGTCGATATGTTCTAATTTATAGCGCAGCAATCGTATCGACGAAATTAGATCGTCCATCCAGACTGTCCACCCCGCAGTGTCGGCGAACGGTGTCGTTAATCGGCTCTGCCAATTAAAATTTAATCACCGCTCATTTCAGCCTTTTACAACGGCGATAAGGCTCGCCCTCTTGTTTCAAACGCTTGACGCTGGGGGAACGGGACAACGGCCACTTATTTCGGGTTTTCGCGGCCCTTTGGCCGGCACCGAAATCAAGCGTGACATGACACACGCCGTAATCCGCGCAAAGGGTTGATCCCAGTTTAGCCGGCTGTCCGTAAACCGTGGAACCCGCGGGACTTAAGCCCCGGCAAATTTGAATCCGTCAATCTTGACCGTCCAGGAGGAAGCGTATAATCAGCCCGCCTGTGCTCGCGTAATACCCTTCCCCAGCCGTTAGGGATGTTTTTCCGACGGTATCAGAAAGATTCAGCACCGTTGTTTCGGCCGCCGCTTTAGTTTCGCGCGAGGCTACCGGGACTATCCTCCAGGATCATTTTTATCGCGCGAATCGTCTTCAGTCGAAGAATTCATCCGATTTCTTCGTTAAATTGTATTGAACTTAACACATTGAGCGCCGGCCCCGCGATAATGCGGGATTTTTAGTCTATCGTTTAATTGCTAATCCTGCGTTCATGTAACATTTTAGATATGTATAACACAAATCCAAAGTAGAATTTACAAAATCGAATTCCTTATTCTCTTCCGTAAGTTAGAAATTTTGGTTTAATCGATGTTTAACATTAGGTTTACGGGCATTTATTGCACACTTCATTCTATTATTCCTAAAAGAATCGATGCTCGTTTATTTAGATTGTGGAAACTGGAGATTTGATAGTAGGTAATTAGGGTACAGGTCAGTGTGATCGCATCAATCAAAATCGGCGTAAACATTTACAAAATAATATTTCTAAAATCCAATATGCGTCAATTTGACGCGTTCCGTGAACCTAGTGTTAAAAATGTATCAATATAATCACCGACGCTCGCGTTTTTAGTAGCTGAAATTTAGCGGGCGTTCGATGTGTTAACACTAGGTTTACGGATCTTTGTTGTATAGTTCATTCTATCGTTTCCAGAAGACATGGGTATTTATACAGGTCGCGGAGTTTCAAGAACAGAATTCTAATGTAATAATATATAAGTAATATTCCGAATGAGTGGACAAAGGGAGAGTTAACACTAGATTTACTGACGTTTATTCTACACTTTGTGCTATGGTTCTAGAAAACTACGTGTTCGTTTATATAGATTGTGAAAATTGTAGCTTCATCGTTAGAGTATCACTATGTGCATTTGCATAATTGTATCAACCAATCGACTTGAATACTTACGAAATAATGTTTAAACTATTCAATATCCGTCAAATTGACGAGTTGCGTACATCTAGTGTTAGCATTAGGTTTATGGGCGTTTGTTGTACGGTTTATTCTATTGTTCCTACAAAACTGTTCATTTAGATGTCGGAAATTGAGGTTTGAGGATAAAGAATTAGGATACATGTTCGTGTATAGTTCGATGGAGAAAAAACTTCGCTTGTCCTAAAAGCTAACAAGTCAAGGAGGCAAGGTACCTGAAGCCTTATCGAATGTGACGAAGTAGGATGTAACCATAGAAAATAAAATTTATGTCACTAACTTCATTCTCTATCGTTACTTCGTCACGTTCGGTGTCAATTTCAGTTTCCTCTCCGATTTCTCAGCTTTTGGTACAAAGAAGTCTTCTCTCCGTCGGACTGTAATTGCGTCAATTATAATCGACGTGAATATTTACTAAATAATTTCTATAAAACTCGACATGCGTCAGATTAACGCGTTCTGCGAACGTAGCGTTAAATGGTACCTCACGAAGGATTCTATGAACTTGATTTACATCTGAAAAGGTCTCGCTGCCATTGGGGTAATC